TGAGATAATGCTGTCATCATACTCACTGATACATTTGTTCCCCTCACCACTATATGTGAGATAATGCTGTCGTCATACTCACTGATACATTTGTTCCCCTCACCACTATATGTGAGATAATGCTTTCGTCATACTCACTGATACATTTGTTCCCCTCACCACTATATGTGAGATAATGCTGTTGTCATACTCACTGATACATTTGTTCCCCTCACCACTATATGGGAGATAATGCTGTTGTCATACTCACTAATGCATTTGTTCCCCTCACCACTAGATGTGAGATAATGCTGTCGTCATACTCACTGATACATTTGTTCCCCTCACCACTATATGTGAGATAATGCTGTCGTCATACTCACTGATACATTTGTTCCCCTCACCGCTATATGTGAGCTAATGCTTTCGTCATACTCACTGATACATTTGTTCCCCTCACCACTAGATGTGAGATAATGCTGTCGTCATACTCACTGATACATTTGTTCCCCTTACCACTAGATGTGAGATAATGCTGTTGTCAAAATCACTGATACATTTGTTCCCCTCACCACTATATGTGAGATAATGCTTTCGTCATACTCACTGATACATTTGTTCCCCTCACCACTATATGTGAGATAATGCTATTGTCATACTCACTGATACATTTGTTCCCCTCACCACTATATGTGAGATAATGCTGTTGTCATACTCACTGATACATTTGTTTCCCTCACCACTATATGTGAGCTAATGCTTTCGTCATACTCACTGATACATTTGTTCCCCTCACCACTATATTTGAGCTAATGCTGTTGTCATACTCACTGATACATTTGTTCCCCTCACCACGATATGTGAGATAATGCTGTTGTCATACTCACTGATACATTTGTTCCCCTCACCACTATATTTGAGCTAATGCTGTTGTCATACTCACTGATACATTTGTTCCCCTCACCACTATATGTGAGATAATGCTGTTGTCATACTCACTGATACATTTGTTCCCCTCACCACTAGATGTAAGATAATGCTGTCGTCATACTCACTGATACATTTGTTCCCCTTACCACTAGATGTGAGATAATGCTGTTGTCAAAATCACTGATACATTTGTTCCCCTCACCACTATATGTGAGATAATGCTTTCGTCATACTCACTGATACATTTGTTCCCCTCACCACTATATGTGAGATAATGCTATTGTCATACTCACTGATACATTTGTTCCCCTCACCACTATATGTGAGATAATGCTGTTGTCATACTCACTGATACATTTGTTTCCCTCACCACTATATGTGAGCTAATGCTTTCGTCATACTCACTGATACATTTGTTCCCCTCACCACTATATTTGAGCTAATGCTGTTGTCATACTCACTGATACATTTGTTCCCCTCACCACGATATGTGAGATAATGCTGTTGTCATACTCACTGATACATTTGTTCCCCTCACCACTATATTTGAGCTAATGCTGTTGTCATACTCACTGATACATTTGTTCCCCTCACCACTATATGTGAGATAATGCTGTTGTCATACTCACTGATACATTTGTTCCCCTCACCACTATATGTGAGATAATGCTGTTGTCATACTCACCGATACATTTGTTTCCCTCACCGCTATATGTGAGCTAATGCTTTCGTCATACTCACTGATACATTTGTTCCCCTCACCACTATATGGGAGATAATGCTGTCGTCATACTCACTGATACATTTGTTCCCCTCACCACTATATGGGAGATAATGCTGTTGTCATACTCACTGATACATTTGTTCCCCTCACCACTATATGGGAGATAAGGCTGTCGTCATACTCACTGATACATTTGTTTCCCTCACCACTATATGTGAGATAATGCTTTTGTCATACTCACTGATACATTTGTTTCCCTCACCACTATATGTGAGATAATGCTGTTGTCATACTCACTGATACATTTGTTCCCCTCACCACTATATTTGAGCTAATGCTGTTGTCATACTCACTGATACATTTGTTCCCCTCACCACTATATGTGAGATAATGCTGTTGTCATACTCACTGATACATTTGTTCCCCTCACCACTAGATGTAAGATAATGCTGTCGTCATACTCACTGATACATTTGTTCCCCTTACCACTAGATGTGAGATAATGCTGTTGTCAAAATCACTGATACATTTGTTCCCCTCACCACTATATGTGAGATAATGCTTTCGTCATACTCACTGATACATTTGTTCCCCTCACCACTATATGTGAGATAATGCTATTGTCATACTCACTGATACATTTGTTCCCCTCACCACTATATGTGAGATAATGCTGTTGTCATACTCACTGATACATTTGTTTCCCTCACCACTATATGTGAGCTAATGCTTTCGTCATACTCACTGATACATTTGTTCCCCTCACCACTATATTTGAGCTAATGCTGTTGTCATACTCACTGATACATTTGTTCCCCTCACCACTATATGGGAGATAAGGCTGTCGTCATACTCACTGATACATTTGTTTCCCTCACCACTATATGTGAGATAATGCTTTTGTCATACTCACTGATACATTTGTTTCCCTCACCACTATATGTGAGATAATGCTGTTGTCATACTCACTGATACATTTGTTCCCCTCACCACTATATTTGAGCTAATGCTGTTGTCATACTCACTGATACATTTGTTCCCCTCACCACTATATGTGAGATAATGCTGTTGTCATACTCACTGATACATTTGTTCCCCTCACCACTAGATGTAAGATAATGCTGTCGTCATACTCACTGATACATTTGTTCCCCTTACCACTAGATGTGAGATAATGCTGTTGTCAAAATCACTGATACATTTGTTCCCCTCACCACTATATGTGAGATAATGCTTTCGTCATACTCACTGATACATTTGTTCCCCTCACCACTATATGTGAGATAATGCTATTGTCATACTCACTGATACATTTGTTCCCCTCACCACTATATGTGAGATAATGCTGTTGTCATACTCACTGATACATTTGTTTCCCTCACCACTATATGTGAGCTAATGCTTTCGTCATACTCACTGATACATTTGTTCCCCTCACCACTATATTTGAGCTAATGCTGTTGTCATACTCACTGATACATTTGTTCCCCTCACCACGATATGTGAGATAATGCTGTTGTCATACTCACTGATACATTTGTTCCCCTCACCACTATATTTGAGCTAATGCTGTTGTCATACTCACTGATACATTTGTTCCCCTCACCACTATATGTGAGATAATGCTGTTGTCATACTCACTGATACATTTGTTCCCCTCACCACTATATGTGAGATAATGCTGTTGTCATACTCACTGATACATTTTTTTCCCTCACTGCTATATGTGAGCTAATGCTTTCGTCATACTCACTGATACATTTGTTCCCCTCACCACTATATGGGAGATAATGCTGTCGTCATACTCACTGATACATTTGTTCCCCTCACCACTATATGGGAGATAATGCTGTTGTCATACTCACTGATACATTTGTTCCCCTCACCACTATATGGGAGATAAGGCTGTCGTCATACTCACTGATACATTTGTTTCCCTCACCACTATATGTGAGATAATGCTGTTGTCATACTCACTGATACATTTGTTTCCCTCACCACTATATGTGAGATAATGCTGTTGTCATACTCACTGATACATTTGTTTCCCTCACCACTATATGTGAGATAATGCTGTTGTCATACTCACTGATACATTTGTTTCCCTCACCACTAGATGTGAGATAATGCTGTTGTCAAAATCACTGATACATTTGTTCCCCTCACCACTAGATGTGAGATAATGCTGTTGTCATACTTACTGATACATTTGTTCCCCTCACCACTAGATGTGAGATAATGCTGTTGTCATACTTACTGATACATTTGTTCCCCTCACCACTATATGTGAGATAATGCTGTTGTCATACTTACTGATACATTTGTTCCCCTCACCACTATATGTGAGATAATGCTGTCGTCATACTCACTGATACATTTGTTCCCCTCACCACTATATGTGAGATAATGCTGTCGTCATACTCACTGATACATTTGTTCCCCTCACCACTATATTTGAGCTAATGCTGTCGTCATACTCACTGATACATTTGTTCCCCTTACCACTATATGTGAGATAATGCTGTTGTCAAAATCACTGATTCATTTGTTCCCCTCACCACTATATGTGAGATAATGCTTTCGTCATACTCACTGATACATTTGTTCCCCTCACCACTATATGGGAGATAATGCTGTTATCATACTCACTGATACATTTGTTCCCCTCACCACTAGATGTGAGATAATGCTGTCGTCATACTCACTGATACATTTGTTCCCCTCACCACTATATGTGAGATAATGCTGTCGTCATACTCACTGATACATTTGTTCCCCTCACCACTATATGTGAGATAATGCTGTTGTCATACTCACTGATACATTTGTTCCCCTCACCGCTATATGTGAGCTAATGCTTTCGTCATACTCACTGATACATTTGTTCCCCTCACCGCTATATGTGAGCTAATGCTTTCGTCATACTCACTGATACATTTGTTCCCCTCACCACTAGATGTGAGATAATGCTTTCGTCATACTCACTGATACATTTGTTCCCCTTACCACTAGATGTGAGATAATGCTGTTGTCAAAATCACTGATACATTTGTTCCCCTCACCACTATATGTGAGATAATGCTTTCGTCATACTCACTGATACATTTGTTCCCCTCACCACTATATGTGAGATAATGCTATTGTCATACTCACTGATACATTTGTTCCCCTCACCACTATATGTGAGATAATGCTGTCGTCATACTCACTGATTCATTTGTTCCCCTCACCACTAGATGTGAGATAATGCTGTTGTCATACTCACTGATACATTTGTTCCCCTCACCACTATATGTGAGATAATGCTGTCGTCATACTCACTGATCCATTTGTTCCCTATTCTATGTTGTGTGTTGTGTACTTGTAGCTGAGGTGGTATTACAGCATGGGGAGGAAGCTGAGGCAGTGGTTGGTGCACTGGACAACGGTGAGCTGCTGGGGGTGGAGGTGTCAGTGTGTCTCTGCCCCAGTGACAGGCTGCTGGGGGTAGCACACCTCCCACAGGATTACACTGATGAGCAGTTCACACATCTAGTCTCAACTCATGGGAAAATACTCAAGGCTTTCTTGATGAGAAGTCAACTGTCAGGTCAGTTATCCGCATAATAAAGTTAATAAAATTATTCTGTACAGGAAACTGAAAGTCATCATGTGACCTGACCATTTATTTTTAGTGTAAATACTTCTTTAATGCAATTTTCACAAGAATCAATGAGGCAAAGTGATTGAAAAGTTTGAAAAATGTGCCTCTTGTTTATTTACCAATCATTTTGCCTTACATTGATATTGGGTTGTATATTCTGTGCTCAACACAATGGATTTTTATCCCCCCCCCCCCCTGGCATATAATGCGGGAGGATATAGCAATCAGCCAGTCTGTCTGTCCGTCCGTAATCATTTCCTTTTCCGGGGCAGAATTCCAAAACCAATCAGTGTATTTGATCGAAACTTTGCAAATCTATCAGGCACATACTGAAGTGGTACCTTTTGATATTTTGGGATTTTTCTAATTTTTATTTTTTTAAATTTTTATGGAATGAAGTTGGACTTAGACTCAATTGGGGATGGGGTTCGTTTCCGGGGCAGAATTCGAAAACCATTCAGTGTATTTGATCGATACTTGGCAAAGCTATCAGGCACATACTGAAGTGGTGCCTTTTGATTTTTTGGGATTTTTCTAATTTTGATTTTTTTTTTCAATTTTTATGGAATGAAGCTGGGCATAGACTCAATTGGGGATGGGGTTCGTTTAAGGGCCAGAATTAGAAAACCATTCAGTGGGTAAACAATGTATGCTTCTTAAAGAACATTCAACTGTTGACTTATTACATACAGAATTGCACATTTACTAGTGGTTACTTTACAGACAGCTGCCGGGGGGATATGTCATCTTTCTGATGACTCTTGTATGAAGATCGTTGTTAAAAATTCACTGACAAATGTAAAGATCGTTGCAGGCAGTTAGCAGGAACAACACTTGATGTTCTTGGCAAAAACTCAGACTGCAAGGATACTATAAGTTGTGGCTATATCACCTATTTTGTTTTCACTAAAATAATATTCCAATAAGAGCCCCCTATTTCTAATTTTGAGAGCGCCCTGGGCGCTTATTACGTCGAATATGGTAAACATATTGAAAACAGTGAGAAAATAACTTTTGCTGTGTCTTCCATTGACTCGTATGCAACGTTGCAGGGTTTCAAGTGATTTATTGTCCTGCTCAGAAATTCATGCGCAGCCTGTTTTCTTCCTTGTGGGGTGTAAGGGATTTATTGTGTTGCACAGAAATTTATTTCTCATCCAGGTGGGATACGTAATGTTTTAATCAAGGTGATGCGAACCAATCTGATCTCAATATTCTGAGATGGAGGTAAGATAAATAACCATGATAACATCACAATGAAGTATGCATGATACGTACTTGGGCCGATACATTGCTCAGTTGCCTTCAGCAAACCTCAACCTCAACATGCGAAACATGCCAAGTAAAATATTAACTCAGTGTCTTCATACAACTGCTAAATAAATGCATATAAATATTAGTGCATATCCAGGATTATGAATGGCCACTGGTCCAAAGACTTCTGAAAATGTGTCCAATTTAGTCCAAATTGACCTGCAGACCATTCAATATTTTAACTTATATTATCTCTGATTGCTGAATATTGTATTGATTCTTTTACTTACCCTGCATAACTCCTTAATGCATTTGCATTTGTTCCAACGGGTGCAGGCTAAAATGGCACCGATTTCTCTGGCGAAACAGCACCACATTTGGCGAAAACGGCTACAATGTGCACCTCTATTTTTAATTTTTAACGTTTTTTGTAGTAATATATATGGTTTATTTACATGGTATTTGATGTATTTACATGTTAATGGATGTATGTGATGTATTTACATGGTATTTCCTGTTTTCACAGATAAGTACATATGTTCATATATATATACAGTTCTTCCGTTTTCTTCTAATCGTCGGCATGTCCATCGTCTTCTTCATCGTGTTCACAATTTTGGCCCATGTACAATCGAACATTGTGAGGGTACTTGGCTCAGGGAGAGGTCTCCATATCGTGTAAATGACAGCTTATTGTAAATTACCGAGAACAATTACACCAATCAGTTATAACAACAATGTTAATACCTCAACTCGGACTTGAATTGCTGTCAACTGTGGCGCGGTGTTTCCCTTCATTGTAGGTGTCGTCCACCTGTATCACCAATGCCGGACAGGTTGTTGTCTTGTTCTCGATGCTGCAGCGCCAGAATGTTCTGGTATCTGGTTTTCTGCAAACACCAAATGAAAAAAAAATAGGACATACTTACTTACTTAGATTATTACTTTCAAATTAAATATTTACTTGTTACGGTCATCTTCGCACCATGTTAGGCTTATTATACCCCCGATTTACTTTTATATAGCGTTCCGTTCGTCCGTCCTTCCGTCTGAGCTTTTGTACGGCCCATAACTTTTTAACTATGCACCCTAGCTTCACCAAACTTTCTACACACATTAACCACAATGAGTACTTGTGCCTTTTGCTAGTTTGAAGATTCTGAAGTTTTTAATTTTTGCCGTTTCTATGGAAACATTAGAAACTTAAACTTTTAGGGTGGGTGTTTTATACCGCCCATAACTTTTTAACTATGCACCCTAGCTTCACCAAACTTTCTACACACATTAACCACAATGAGTACTTGTGCCTTTTGCTAGTTTGAAGATTCTGAAGTTTTTAATTTTTGCCGTTTCTATGGAAACATTAGAAACTTAAACTTTTAGGGTGGGTGTTTTATACCGCCCATATCTTTTTAACCATGCACCCTAGCTTCACCAAACTTTCTACACACATTAACCACAATGAGTACTTGTGCCTTTTGGTAGTTTGAAGATTCTGAACTTTTTAATTTCCCTGTTGTTTCTCTGTGATTGTTATTTGTGCTTACCATTTTTGTCTTCGTATCTCTCATATGATTCAGGCAATAGCATTTATATTTATCACCCAGGCGTATTGTTGTCCCAATTAGCCATTTTGAATTCACCTCGTGGTCACATATTTTCATGTCATGCACTCTGTATTCTCTGAATTGCTTGGTAATTCAATTTATTGTCGTTTCCTAGCGATATTATCGTTACTAAACTGGTGTCTTTTCGTGTTGTTTACGTACATTTGTTCTTCATAAACCCACATGGCTGGGATAAATGATTATAGCATACATAATCGGGTGGTAACGCATCTTGATTACACTCTGCTATCATTGCAGATACATGTCCCGTTGTAGCAAGTGTCATGGAAATAAGTCTGGGTGGAACCGTCATCTATCATGCCTGAATTGCACTATCATCTGCTCACGCACTTCTGGGCGTAAAGATTGTCTGCCACTCGCCCCTACAGCTTTCTCCAAATACCTACACAGCAAGCACTGAAACAGTAACTCCTTCAGAAAATGTCTGACTCAGCTGAGCCTACCACTGCTCGTTGACGCCCTCCTTCAAGGCGCCTTAATACAGGAAGGATGACTTCCCAGTCCACTCCTTGGATATTGTGGATTTGGCTCACACACTGGATGACAACCTACACTGCATGACAGGTTCCTACCAATCTACCTACTTCCACGCCCCAGACACATGGCAGGTCCCGCACTCCATTAACTAGAGCCATCTTGCAGGTCCTGTTGGAGGACAACCCTAACCTAATCGACCACCTGGCTACGGTCATGGTCAAAGAGGGACCTCATCTGCCAACTCTGGTCATCTACCTCCCTTTTCAACCGCCAAGTTTCAGCCACCCAAACTCGTGTCTCCTCAAGGATGTGACACCTTGTCCTTTTTGTTGCAGAAACTAAGGCAAAGTCAACTCCAGCTGCACCTACCAGCCATGCTGTGACCATTCCCATGGTGGGAGTGAGCAAGGCTCCCAGCCGTTCATGTCGTCGAGACTCCTCTAGGTGGGAGATAGAAAGCTATTGGCAGAACTGGGACATCCTGGGGGACCCATACGTCGTCAACATACTGCGCCGAGGGTAGCAACTCACTCTGAGAGATGACCCGCCTCTGATGCACCCATAGCAGACACATACCCCCTGCACAACAGCTGCTCTTTCACTCCAACGTCAACACACTACTGGCCAAAGAGGCCATAGAGATTGTACAGTCCCCAGCTCTAACATCAGGCTTCTACTTGCCGATATTCCTCATCACCAAGAAGAACTCAGACCAGTAACAAATGACCCACAACCTGGCTACTTTCAACAAGTGCTACCTGAAGCATCAACCATATTTTTGGATGTCCACACTCGGGCTGCTCAGGTCCAGGATCCAGGTCCACAACGCCTTGATCAGTCTAGATATCCAGGACACATAACCTACATGTTTCGATCCATCCCAATGACTGGAAGTTCCTCCGCTACTTCGAGGGAGTCCACTATCAATTGGAATTTCCTCGGCCCATGGCTATTTACACGTATCACCAAGCCGATGGCCACCTACCTCCATCTTAGGAGTGTTCAGATCGAGGACACGGCCAAGGTAATCCACTACAGGGACTTCACACAGTGGCTCCTCCATCAGTAGGGGTGGATCATCAATATCCAGAAGTCGGAGTGCACTTTCTTATACGATCTCCAGTTCATCGGAGGCCACTTTCAGACCGACTGAGACCACCTCTCTGTACCTAGTCCAACACCACCTACTCCCTGCTCTCCATCAATCCCGCTCTCTAAGCCAATGGCAGGCGCTCCTGGGTTTTCTGCACTGGACCTGACATCCAGAGGAAGGCTTCTGCTGTGCCATGTCCAAATGTTCTTTGCTTCTTATATCAGGTGACAGACCAGTTCATCTTCATCATCCTCCCGGACCACCTAAAGCCACATCTCCATTGGTGGACAGAGGATTCTAACGTCTTAGACGGCATCTCCTTGACAAAGCTCACGACCTCATAACACCTATTCTTCGTCGCCGCCTCACTCCATAACTGGGGAGCTCATCTGTAGGGTCAAGTCACCTCCAGGCTGTGGTCTGCCACATAACAACAATTGCATATCAACAACCTGGAACTGGAGGTGCTTATCCCGTCTCTATCTCTATGGAAACAGACGCTTCACCATATCCACAGTCACCGTCCCTGTCGTATGGTGACTCCGCAACCATGGGATGACTCACTACTCCTCCTCCTCCTCCCTGTTACAGCTGACATTCAGGCTCTTCCATCTGATCAATCAACTGGACCTACAGCTTCAGATCCTACACATCCCAGGTTGTTGCAACATCCTTTTGGACGCCCTCTCCAGACCAGACAGGGTAGCCCCCACAGAATGGAAACTCCATCTGGATGCCTTCGCTTTTGTCTGTCAACACCTTGGCAATCCCAACATTGACCTGTTTTGCCATCAGCCAGAACTTCCAGCTCTGGACCTTCATCTCTCCGGTGCCGGATCGACCCAGAACCTTGTTCTTACTTAGTGGCCAGCAAGAGGCTGGTTCATTGACCTCAGAGGAATGTCCTCCACCAATCCCCTCAAACTTCCAAACTGGACAAACCTGCTGATCTACCCCCGCAGCAGACAGGGGCATTTATGACCACAAGTGGCGCTCCTTCGAGAGTTTCTGCAAGGAGAAACACCAGGATCCTGCCTCTGCGTCACCCCAATTCTTGGCTGAATTTCTTCTGTTCCTGCACCACAAGCGTCATCTGAAGGGCAGCACCATCGCGACCTACCTTGTGGCCTTTAACTCCGTCTTGGCAGTTCCGGAAGATCAGAAAATGACTAAGATTCTGGAACTCCAAGCTCTGATATTCTGCTTTTGTCTGGAAGGCCAAATTCAGACCCCCGGCCTGGGATCTGAATGTGGTTCTAACTCTGCTTAGAGAAGCGCCCTTTGAGCCACTCCATGCCGGACAGCAATGTTGCCGATTAGTGGAATCTGTGGACAGTTTTGGAACATCACATCTGAAGGTATGCCCTCCTCCGTACCGTCCGATGCAGATGCTTTAAGGAGTAATGCAGGATAAGTTAAGAAATCTAGTTAAATCTAGATATTTTTTATATATTTGTAAACTTATCCTGCATTGCTTCATCTAAAGTGGCCCTCCTGTCGCAGAGCTGCCTCCCCACGATGTCTTCCAGATGTCACATGGGAGCTGTATGATAGGGTAAGCTTCTTCAGCAAGACCTCTCACAGCTAGTTTTTTCTGTCAAGAACAAACAGTAAATGCATTAAGTAGTAATGCAGGATAAGTATACAAATAAAAAAATATCTAGATTTTACTAGTATTGTCATCAATACAAACTAGGGCTACAGGGTCCCCTTCAACAAAGCGGTTGTAGCATACAACTGTGGCAAGTCTATGAAAACATATCGTAATTACGATAATCTAAGAGCTATGATCTCTATGGAACGGGACCCGGATACTTAACACTCTACTAAATTGAACATTTGATTGTATGAGTCTTTCTTTCACCTTTATTCGTTTACAGGTAATAGCAAGTCATATGGCTTTGTTGAGTATGAAGAGAGTGCAGAGCGAACCCGAGATATCATGGCTGAGTTGGACTGGTGTGAAGTGGCAGGAAGAAAGTTACATGTGGATCTGATGGAGGAGAATCTGCAAACATGGAGCAAGCTACAGTCCCGGTGTCTCCTCATTGACAACTTGCCATGGGACTTTGTGGATGTCTCAAAAATGCGTGAAATATTCAGCTGTGTCACTAGCCCTGTCTACTGTCAGGTAATCACTTTTGATGTTAAGCTGTGTCACTAGCCCTGTCTTCTGTCAGGTAATCACTGTTTGATGTTAAGCTGTGTTGATATATTAGATTGTTGTGTCTTAGTAGAAAGGGGGCACGGGTGGCCCAGTCGTCTAAGGTGCCGCGATTCGCTGTGCAGAGTTGCGTCCCTTGGGCACGCCAGAAACCTATGATTGTGGGTTCGAATCCCTGTTCTCCCCGATTATGTTTCTAGGTTTGTCAGCACCATACCCGTGCTCGTGGGTTTCACCGAAGTGGTAAACGTCTGAGACCTGCATCACTTCGGGCTTTCCTCCCACATTAAGCTGACACGCCGCCATATAACTGGAATACTGTTAAAAGCAGCGTTAAACCATACTCCCTCACTCACTTAGTAGAAACGTTACTAACTTGATTGCTACAAACTATTGGAAGAAACTATAAACGGCACTCGCACCAGCTCTGAAATCAGTTTGAAACATGGGTGATAACTCCTGCATGTGTGCTGCAGCTGATAGCTCCAACATATGTTTGAACTGATCCTACATGCATAATATTTGCAGTATTGTTGTTGTTTTTATCCCCCGCCGGTCCAGAATGGCCGAAGGGGGATTATGTCGTGGCGCAGTCCGTCTGTCCGTCCATCCGTCCGTCTGTCTGTCCGTCCGTCCGTCCCACAGAGGGTACTAAGCTTGTGAAATCAACTCCTCCTACAGTTTCCAGAGAATATCCCTGAAACTCTACACAGAAGATGTCGACATGTTGATGATACGCATATCGCAGTCCCGTTTCATTTCTACTAATTTTGACAGAGTTACTGCCCGTTTTACGGAGCTTCATGAAATCTACTCCTCCTCCAGTTTCCAGAGAATATCACAATATCTAACTATAACTATAACTATAGTTAGTTTCCTTGTATAAGGCTTTTGTGGGTGAGCTACATCCTTATGGCATTAGCATTCAGACTGGATTACTCCCAACAAAATTTTCTGCACGATTTGTTTCAAATGCATTGCCATCTACTGTTGTTATTTCATAAAATACAAAGAAAATATAAACTCGTTAAAAAAATTCATGGGGGGATGTTGTGCTCTCAGAGCCCTCGTTATGGGCTGTTGTTGGACGTTAGCTTTCCTCTATCATGTCTGAGTCCTAACTGTAAACTGTATTCAGATAGCTGTGAAAGAGGGGAAATCACTTGGCTTTGGAATCATTGAATTCCGTGAAGAAGGTGAAGCTGAGGCTACCTGGATTAAACTACAAGGTCATGTACTCAAGGATGCCCCTATTTCACTGTCCTTCTGTCTTCCCGGGCGTCCAGCTGTTGTCATTTACAACAGAATCATGTGGAAGATGGTATGTAGATCTAGCTAAGTATGGTTGCTCAAGTCAGTCACTGAGCAGCGGTGTATCTGCTTCTTTGTACTCTTTATGTTTCATAGGCATGAAGGTTTGACACAAATGATTCTTTATGTGAGGTGAGAGGCAGTGGAGAATTACATTCCAGTCAATCATTTCAAGGCTTTTCAAACATGATGCACCTATGTCAATTGCACAAATGTTTCATTTGAAAAAGTAACTGAAACTCACTATCTCAGCAAATCAAATTATTTATTAGTACCAGGTTATTAAAACTTTCAAGTATTGTGTCATGGGTAAAAGAAAAGACACCATTAGAACATGTTCCCTACAAATTCTTTTGCAAAATCCAAAATATATCGAATGTACACTAACGCTTATTCTCTGACGATACTGGATACAGCACTGCACTGAAGTGTTTTGTATAATTAATTCACTCCTATTGAAAAGTATGCAAATATGAATGTACTTTCATATGTAGATGTAAACTATGTGTACAAACTGCTCCAGGACAAGAAGTTTGAGCCCAGCAGCAAGAGCAGCCTACTACCAGACCCCCTGTTTGTGAGTCCTGCCTTGCTGAGCAGCCCGCTAGTGAAGGGACTTACCAACCAGTTCCCACAGTGTAAGTACACAGCAATGCCGGCTCTTCCTTGTTTTCAAGAGGATGTTCAGTGAATGTAAAACACTTGGTTGCCAAGCATGCAGACTATTTCTAATCATCTGGTCAGTAACTTCAATTCCAGTGCCCTGGTGCAAGTGAACAGCAGTTTGATTACTGTAAAACGTGAAATTAACGCGAGCGTGAATTAAATGCGAAAAATGCGATTGGTCTTTGTTCGCATTATTAAACATCGCGTTTATATCAACAATAAGACATTTTGGATAGCAGAAATACCAACGTAGACATACGCTGAAAACAAACAACTGTGTATTCCACATCAATGTTTATTGAGCAGAACTTGTAACAAGTATATAAAAAATGTCATTCAAACACTAATTACATCCTGTGAATTGTCACCGCTGGGGTCAAGACAAGCGTTCTACTCACTCATGTCATCACTGATCACACCTGCAAGTCCAGACAGACGCCACCCAACATGGTGTCTTTGCTCTTTGCGACTGCATCAAAGGCCGACACAAGACAGCGCACACGTATTGTTTTAGCTGAAGTACTCTCCTCAGCGCTAATAAGCGGTGCTATTTGGTGTGTGATTGGATTAATGTAAGGTTGGATTCAGGTGAGGATTCTCCTGTAAACCTGACAAAGGACATTTTGTTTAGATATAAATCCACTGATGCTTGAGGGGAGGGGCCTAACTAATGATGCTTGAGAATTCATGGCTGAACTAATGGGCATGGCCTCAGCCCTTCATAATCAACAATCTAAAAAACAACCAAAAATCCTAATACTTACCGACTCGCTCAGTGGACTACAAGCCCTCCAAAATAAAAACACCAAAAACCGCCCTGAACTAATAAATCAGATACTAAAAAGCTCAAACGATTTAACTAAGGCAGGCAAACAAATAGTATTCATTTGGATCCCCGCCCATGTAGGAATATACGGCAATGAAAACGCTGATAAAGCAGCTAAACTATTCCTTAAAATCCCAGAAATAAGTTTAAACCTACTCATCTCCAAATCAGAAATTAAAAGTGTCAACAAACAAAAAATCACCAAAAAATGGCATATCCTATATCAAAACTCAAATAGCCAAATCAAAAAGGTTCTCAAAAAAAACCTAACCAAACCAAAAATTCTACATCCGTCCAAAAAAATCGACAGAGTAATTACTAAACTCCAAACAGGACATATCAACCTAAATAACCACCTCAAAATAATAAGAAAACACTCAACAGGAACCTGCCCACATTGCAAACAACAAGAAACCCCAGAACACGCACTCATACTCTGCAGCCACTACCTAACACACCGAACTACACTACAAACCACCCTAAATCTAAATAAGGCTCTTACTCTAGAAGCAATCCTAAACCCACAAAATAAAATAGAAAAATTCAAAGCCTTCGGTGTATACTTAATCAAAACAGGACTAATAAATGGCATTTAAAACCCTAATAAACTACCAAAACCAGACCACATAATCAAACTAACAAACTTCGATACTCTGGTCCTTAGTTCGTCCCCTTAACCCTCTTGGCATTTTTTCCAAATTTCAAAATTTCCAAAATTCTATATAAGCAACCACTAAAACACCCCTACTGGATTGCCAAACAACTTTTTCCCCTTTTCGGAAACACATTAAATGGCTTGGCCGGGCCCGTGTGCGAAATACGCTGCAGTCGGAAAGCGCACGTAAAATCTCCAATATAAGTAAGTAAGTAAGTAAGGAGGGGGTGTCGCATTCATATTGAGTTGCATTTTTGGCTAGGGCCAAGCGGTCGCATTCTTTTGGAGACGCATTAATTTCACGTTTTACAGTAGCTGTTTAGCCTGGTTTCTGATGAGTTGATCCTGGACTTGTGTTGTTGATCTAGGGTGCCCTGTACTGGAAATCACATACATTGAACAATTTGGCTACCCAGCCGAGTTCTACCAGTTTGGAGCATGCCAGTAGCTCTTCAGTGTTCATCATGACGCATTCCCAATCTGTTCACAAATACTGCATTAAAAAAGAATAGTTTCTACTGACTTTATTTGTTACTGTGGATAATGAAAATCAACGAAATTTGATGACCTTTCACTGTAGTGTCAAAATCAAGGATGACACCTTACCTATGTGCACAAAGGAATTACATAATCAACCTGCAATCTTTCAGGTGTGTTGGGCTTTAGGTTTTGGTTCCGAAACCATTCTAACTCACATTTTTCAAAGCTGATCTTTCTTCTTTCGTGGGCAGCAAAACCCACAACTTATGGACAAGATATGGCTATTATTTTGGTGCTATTTACTTTGCATCTGCACGAGCTATACAGGGAAATCTTTGTGTGGTTTAACTACTGATGCTATATTTACAGACAGGCAACATTTCATCTCCCTATTATGTGTTGGGAAAGAGTGTTGATCTTGTCAACATGCTTTGTGTAATCACGTCTGACATGAAGATGTACTGTGGTTCTATGCTCCTTTCACAAGTCTCTAATTCCTCACTGAGTTTATCTCATATGGATCAAAGTCCTCAAACCTAAACTAAAAACCAACCTACAGTCTTGTTACCTACATGGCCATATCAGCATATGTAATGGGGCATTTTCTCTGGGTGCACCAATTAACATGGTTGAAGGCCTCCCTCAAATTTATTCAGATAATGTCAATGCAAAGTATACTTTGGTTAAACTAATGGGAACCCTTTAAATAAAGTTATTTTGGTCCATTAATCTTCAATTTGTTAAGATTATGTGAGGATATTTGACATGTGGCTAGTATAAAATAGATTTGAACATAGTTCAGTGGTGTTTGATTACCGGTATATAATCTGTTCAAGAATGATTATTAGCAGGAGTCAGAGCCAATTTTGAAATCAGTGATGAAGCATGAAAAGGTAACCGCATTTTTCATATTTGAAGCTGTTGAAATGAATGAAATATTATTCAACCAGGTAAACACACCAGAGGACTGTCTAATGCTTTCTTCTATTTATGACAGTGATCCCAACCTTTATGAAGTCTCTTCATCAGCTTCACCAGACATACATCAACTCTGTGATGTCCCGCAATACCAAGCCAGGTATGTGTTTATTCTCAGCATCTACTGGTGTGTGGGTAGATAGGTTTTTTGTCTTTGTAACAAGCTGGTGTGGGACTTGTTTCACTTCACTGTGCCTGACTCTTCTCCCTTATGTCTTTATTGGAGCTACGCAGGTCTTAATGAAGCTGCCTCGTGACTTGCCTGTCATTGTGTCCTGATGATGTGGATTGTTGCTCATGCTGTCAGTCATTGTTTGGCTTGTCTAGACTTGATTTAAAGGCCACTGTGATGTAGCTGGAATATTATTGCAACATAACATTCCCAACCTCACTGTGTGCTGTTTGATGTGATTTTGTACCTAAAAAAACACATTGTTTGTGTCTGACTTGAATCGTAGCCAGGAATATTCTCTTTCTGATTAAATCCTCCTTGGGGCACTTATTGCATTTTCCTTGCTCAAGAAAATCTATATGACATAGTTGTAACCATTTTCCTTAATAAAAAATGTTACCACACAAAAAACTTCGTTTTTGTATGATATACGACCACCCTTATGGGGCCTCACCCCCAACGGCGCCTCACGCCAGGGGGAGCAACTCTCACCCAAATCACTTTCCTTATGTCATCTGTAAGAGACAGACGTGTTGATTTTTCACACAAGACAAAAATAAGAGAAATCTATCGTTCGACAAGAACCATGGCTGACCAAACTGTATGTATGGTACATTTCTTTCATTGCAAAGGCGTAATACCTCGCATTGTTAAGTGATAGAGTTGTAATAATACGCCATGTGCACGGTACCTTTGAATTCAAATGGCCGTAATGGCGTCCATATTGTAGTTCCACGGGCTGATACATGTAACACCAAGGCCATTAAGAAACGGCTTGGGGTTTTGTTATATCATACAGCATTGGTCTACAATTTTTTCCTTTACAAAACCCAAGGTGGTGTGTTAATTCATAAACTACACTTACCTATTTTACGGGTTTTACACCTTAGCGCGTAACACGCCCCTTTAGTGTTATAATTATACTACGACATTGGCTATTAGTATCGCGTTACAAATCGCATTCTACATTACGCCTTTGCTTCTATTTTCACAATTTATGCAAGTATCTTTCCGATCTTTATATCGCACTGATACACGTTGATACCCTTCCCGCCCACCTCAGAAATTACGGTCTTGTTTACAAGACCTTCAAACTGTGTACGGGTTGTTCTAAGACAGGCACGAACGCTGCCTAATATGTCTGGCGGAGGACATTGCCTTTACCCCCCGGGGCCCCCAAAAAGAACAAGTTGACTTGTTCCACTTTAAAGAGGTCTATTAAAGGCGGGGGTAGATGTCAGATCTACTAAGACATCCCCCCCCCCCCCCCCCCCCCTCCCCATCTAAAAAGGGTAAAAAAGCTGCCGAGATTGTCTCCCCGAGCTCCCTCTCCGGGGGCCTGGGGAGAAGGCTCGAGGGTCCCCGTAGTAAGCACTGCACCCTCTCCTGCACTGTCTTTGGCAGACTTTTCTGCGTTACTTAAGTCGCAGATGGCGTCGATGATGGAGGAGGTAAAGTCTCAGCTCCGAGAGGAGATGCGGACCGAGCCTTCCCCGTTGTCGGCGCCGGACGCGGCTTCGAGACCTTGTGATATGCCCGGCGTCGGCCGAGGCAGGCTACTTGGTCTCAGGGATGATCTCAGACCGGGCTTCGGCGCCGGCTCGAGGTCGCTCCCCAGCGGAGGGGTGGCGGGCGCCGGCCTGTGCACTACCGACGCACAATTTTTCCCTAGCGGAGCCAGACGCCTCTTCCGAGGCCGAGGCTTTCACTAGTGGATTCGTAGCCCGGAGCCAGGGGGGATCCCTTGGTCTCGGGGACGATCCTAGACCGAGCTCCGGCTCCGGCTCGAGGTCGCTCCCCAGCGTAGTGGTGGCGGGCACCGCCCTGTGCACTACCAACGCACAATTTTCCCTAGCGGAGCCAGACGCCTCTTCCGAGGCCGAGGCTTCCACTAGTGGATACCTAGCCCGGAGCCAGGTTGGTTCCCTTTGTCTCGGGGACGATCCGAGACCGAGCTTCGGCTCTGGCTCGAGGTCACTCCCCAGCGAAGGGGTGGCGGGCGCCGGCCCGTGCACTACCGATGCACAATTTTCCCTAGCGGAGCCAGACGCCTCTTCCGAGGCCAAGGCTTTCACTAGTGGATACCTAGCCCAGTGCCAGGTGGGTTCCCTTGAACCTCCGGCACCTCGGCACCGGGACTCGGCCTCGGGCCGGGTGCAGAGACACGTGCGGGACAGGATTGTCCAGGTACTGCCTCAGGTGGCTGCGCCCATGCCAGAGTCGGAGACACCCAACTTGACTAAGGTCAAGCAGGGCCGGCGGTTGCCCCCCCTTTCCCGTGTGCGGTGCGGAGTTGAAGGCTGCTTACATATGCTTCGAGGAGCAATATCATAATGCATGCCAACAGCTCCGTGTGTCCATACACTCCGCGTATCTGTCGGCTGTACAGAGGGAGTTAGCGGGAGAGGGGCCGGCCGACTCTTCAGAGTTGGCCGCGCAACTAACGGAAGTTCAGTTATCTTGCGCGGGACGCTATTCGTAGCTGTGCCTCGCAGATGATGTGCGCTGTTATGTGCATGCGCAGGCGGTGGATGTCGGTATCTAAATACTCGACTTACACACGCCAAGACCTACTTGCTTTGCCGTATAAGAGGGTGCCACCCTCTTCCCTGGGACTCAGCAGGTGGTCCGAGAGGCTGCTCAATTGTATACTTCCATCAAAGACTCATAAGGCCTTGTTGGAGGTACCAAGCGTTAAAACCGCGTAAGCGGGCCTCTCCAATTGTCCCCTCCTACGCTAACGCACGGGTCAGACGTCCACACCTGCTTGGAAGCCGCCGCTTCCTTCAGGTACAAGGGCGCTGGGAGGAGCAAGAGAGGCACGGGCCGGGGCAAGGCAGCTGGTCGAGGCCAACAGCTTTTTCGCGGGGCTGGGAACGATGGGTTCCCATTAGCGCCCGAAGAGCCCCGGGTGAACCCACAGTCGCAAGTTATCGGGAAAACTCATCCGCTCCTCCACTTTTCCGGGATAAAGCACACTCCGGTGCCTGCTACCCGAGAGAAGGCGGAATTCCTCCGTGCCGAGGTCGACGCACTTCTTATGAAAGCAGCGATCGAACCGGGTCCCGAGGGACAGAAAAGCGAGGGCTCTCGACTTGTTTCCTAGTCACCAAACAGTGATCTCAACTGTCGAGACAGGAGAATGGCTAATGTCAATAGACTTAAAATACGCCTATCTCCACATACCAATACACCCCAAGTTCAAGAAATACCTGAGGTTTTCTTTCGACGGGAGGTGTTATCAGTTCAGGGTTCTACCATTCAGGATCTCCACTGCCCCGAGGGTGTTCACCAAGCTGTTGTTGATTCCCGCCCAAGTGGCCTGGCCAGGTCAAAAGGTCGGTTCTGCCATCCGTACCTCGACGACTGGTTACTAAGAGCTCTATTGCAATCCCTTAGTCAGATAGCTACACAACAAGTGATAGATATTCTGATCACTCTAGGGTGGATGGTCAATCTCAAGAAGTCAGATCTGAGCCCCACTCAGAATCTAGTCTTCCTAGTGGCTAATTTCAACACGGTGAGAGGACGTGTATCTCTGTCACAAGATATCAAGTCCCTTAAGCGCAAGTCACACTGTTCGTACATGGCTCCAGTTACTGGACAACATCGAGTCGACAGTGGATTTGGTCTGGCGGGCACGCTTGAGAATGAGTCCCATTCAACAAGCACTCCGTCGACTTTGGGCGAACTCGGAAGATCTCGAGACTGTGCTCGAGACTCCGTAGTGGCTCATTACACACCTCCAGTGGTGGACCGAGGTCGGGAATCACTCCCGTTCCGTCTCTCACAGTTCAAACAGACGCGTCACTCTCCGGCTGGGGAGGCGTTCTGAATTATCACACTGCCTCGGGACTATGGTCCCAGCAGGAGATCAAACTGCATATCAATGTGCTAGAACTGAGAGCGGTCAGGTTGGTGTTCCAACGCTTCCCGGATCTGCTTCGTGGCCAAGTGGTTCGTCTAGAGATGGACAACCAAACGGCGATGACTTACATCCAGAAGCAGGGGGGAACGGCGTCTCCGTCGCTTCGACGAAAGACGTGGCAGTTCCTACTATAGTGCGACTCTCACGATATCAGGGTGCTACCTGTTTATCTCCCGGGGGTGGACAACGTCCGTGCGGACGCTCTGTCTTGCCAGATCCTCGCTCCTCACGAGTGGAGGCTCGACCCGGGGATATTCGGGATTTTTCTCCCTGTTATACAGGTCCTTACAGGTGGATCTGTTTGTGTCTGGGTTAAATAACCAGACACCAACGTTCTGCTCCCGAGTCCACGACCCGAGGTCGGTGACACCGGACGCCTTTCAGCTAGATTGGACGGACAGTTCTGTGGGCATTCTCCCCAGTACCTCTGATTTCCAAGGTCCTGTCTCAGCTAGGCACTCAGCCTGAGCGACTAATTGTGCTCCTGGCACCTCTTTAGTCGGCGCAGAGTGGGTTTCCAGTAATACTCAGGTTTCTGGCTCAGCCTCCTGTTATATTACCTTTACGACCGGACCTCCTATCCCAGAACGGGGCCCTCCACCCGAATCTCAGGATTCAATGGGTGGCTTGGCCACTGTCAGGAATCGCCTCCAGAAGAGCGGTATTCCTGCATGAGTTGCAGACACAATACTGGCTTCGCGGAGGGATTCGACAAACGTTCAGTACGATAGATAGGCCTGCTATGCGCCCTGGTGTGTCGATAGAGGGATTGCAGATCTTTTTTCTGCAGATCTCGTATCCGTGCTTGAGTTTCTCCTGTCGCGACTAGATGACGGCCTGGCCGCATCAACAGTCCGAGGGTACTCTACAGCTATCGCAGCTTTTCACGTCCCTGTCGACGGGGCAGTTCTGGGTGCACACCCATTAGTGCAGCGCTTTTTAGCAGGTGTGGACAGGATCCAACCGCCAGTCCGGCGGATCAGTCCCCCTTGGGACTTGT